ACATTGAGCCATTGACCACAACTCTTTGAGTGCGGCCGTCTAGCCAGTTCCTTATCCACTGAGTGGTCCTTCTGTCAAATCCATGTCCCTCCAACTTAGAGACAAGGATGTCATGTGGGACTGTGTCAAATGCTTTGCACAAGTCCAGGTAGATGTCCATCAGTTGCTCTTCTCTTATCCACCAGTGCTGTGACCCCATCATAAAAGGCCACCAAATTTGTCAGGCATGATTTGCCTTTAGTGGAGCCATGTTGGCTGTCACCAATCACCTCCTTGTTTTCCATGTGCCTTAGCATAGTCTCCAGAAGGATCTGCTCCATGATCTTGCCAGGCACAGAGGTGAGACTGACCAGCCTGCAGTTTCCCAGGTCTTCCTTATTTTGCTTTTAAAAAATGGGGTTCCTGTTTCCCCTTTTGCAGTCAGCAGGAACTTCACCAGACTGACATGACTTCTCAAATATGATGGATAGTGGCTTAGCAACTTGATCTGACAGTTCCCTCAGGACCAACAGACACATCTCATCAGGTCCCATGGACTTGTGCACCTTCAGGTTCTTTAGATGGTCTCAAACCTTATCTTCTCCTAGAGCGGGTGGTTCTTCATTCTCCCATTCCCTACCTTTGTCTTCTGCAGCTTGGGTGTTATTTTGTTCTGACTCAATTTCAAGAAAAGACAAGGGATGTAGGTTAATTGAGAAGCTCTTTTAACTAGACTTTGTGGTTCTTGAACTGCTCTTGTTCTCTCCAGGCAATTGGAAAGGATTTAACAACTGTCCTCATTGTTCCCTTAGGGAAAGCATTTTAAGAAGTACATTTATTTATAAAATTGCTTGTATATTGCTTGTATATAGTTTGACTTCATTATGCTGCACAGCATATAAGTTTCCCTATGATAATATCACACCTTGCAACAGAGGTGTTCGCAAATTATAAATCTTTGGCTCCAAGAATTTCATAGAAGCAGGGACACTGCAGGCTTGGCATTAGCACCCTTACAGACGGAAGGCAGGCAGACAAATCTTCCTTCTACTGTGAGAAGCTCTTGGTTCTCACACAACTTTTACAGGACCTCTGAACAACCTCTCACTTTCAGAGACGTCCCCCTCTTGTAATTGTATGGAAATGCTAGCTATGGATTCAATGGAGTTTATGTTGATGAATTCATTAAGACCAGAGTTTTACTCTTATTTTGTCACATACAGCATCACCTACAGATGAAAAACATTTATTGTCATTTTGCAAGCCTGGAGCCTGGCAGAGGCCTACCTACACACATATAGGAAGAGGGGGACAAGTGTCTGTTGTGAGCAAGTTTGTTTAGAAGGGCACGTCAAGTTGAGTTAAGAGGCTACTCTAGGCACTGGAATCTGACATAAGCAATTAGAAGAGTCAAATAGACTGAAGCAAAGTCCTCTTCTCTGTATTCCCATCTTCCAGTGATTTAAATCCTCTTTGGAGGGCTGGGGCTGCTAGACACTAAGTGGTACTTGCTTTGATCAAGTTGGCTCTCTCCATAATTAGTCACCTGATCAAGAACGAAGCCATCATTTCCTTCACCCTTTTATTTTAGGGTTGGTATAGATATGTACAGCACAAGGACCCTATTTGATCAATGAGCAAGATCACAGGCAGCAGTGCAGGAAACAGGACAAATCCAGTGATCCATCTGGACAACTTCACATGCCAAGTCCTGATACTTCTTGCTTAAATCCACAATGACTGAGTTGGAGGTATATTTGTTCAGTTGGTAAAGCATAATTGGTCATTGGCTTTCAAACACCTAATTCACATCAATACTAAAGTTCACAGTGATTTAATCCAGAAGAGACATGGCTTCCACTGCTATTGCATTACCTATGCTTTAAGACATGAAAGAAACTTAAAGCTGGTGAGGGCAGGAATTGATTCTATACCTGTACTAGTAACATTAAATAGAGGCAAGCAGTAGAAGCAGCTCCCAAAAAAAAAAAAAATCGCTAGCCTTGTTGCTGTGACAGTAGGAACAGTTTCATTCAGGAACAAACTCAGTCTTTGTGTTTTGCACTGTTTTCGTCTGCTGGTGTTGGGTGTTACACAGCATAACAATTCAGGCAGAGCTCTGCTGACCCTCATACTCAGGAGGATTATTTGCAGGGCACAGTTAGATCCAGTGTATTCATAGTTCACTCAACCTGTGGCTAGAAACCCGGCAGGTTTCCTCAAGCTCAAAACACCTCTTCTGTAACTGGCATCAGTCTCTGCTTCAGAGCCAGTTAGTTGCAAAGTCATCTTTCCAACAGTTTTTCTCTAGGATCAAGACTTTTTACTCCAAACCTTGCATTCTGGAGTAAGCAAGATAAAAGTACAGCCCATTGAACTGTTTATCCTTAATTTCAGAAGATATTTAATGTGCTTTAACAGAACAGCTTGCGTGTAGCTATTAACCCTCAGTTTCACTAGCTCCCATGGAGAAGACTGCGTGTCAAATACCATACTCACTTTGTGACAAAAGCTGAGAGAACTGGGGCCAGGGATTTAGGGAAATAATCCTGCTGGACCATATGGTTCAAGGTCATAAGAATACCATAGAGGCTTGGGACAGCTTTGATCTTCTCTTCACTCTGAGAAAAGGACAAGAAGATGAAGTCAGACATCAGACAATCACTATTTTATCAAATCCACTCTAGTTCACAGAGGCAATGAATTCTCTGTTGAATGAAGGGCTGCCATACACTTTAGGAGAGAAAGCTGCTCACTACACTAAGCACAATGTTACTCAAGTCAAAGGCAGCCAACTCCACAGCCTCCCAGCACCAGCATCTGAAATAAAGCAGCATCAAGAACATTCTAGTACTTCTCAATTAGAGCCTAGTCATTGACAGAGCAACAATAGAGAGAGAGAGAAGTAATGAACTTACAAGTGAAACAGACAAATCTTCTCAGAGGCCTTGTGTTAAAAGTGTTCTCCTATGGACTTTTGTCCTGGGCTAAGCTGAGACAGAGTTAACTTTCTTCATAATAGCAAGAGGCTGTGTTTTGGATTGGTGCTCAGAAGAAAGCTGATAAAAAGTGATGTTTATGCAGCTGCCAAGGTCTTTCAGCTTCTCTGGCTGTCCACAGACAGCTGGGAGGGAGCACAGCCCCAGTTACTAGCCTAGGATTTGATCTTAGGTTTGCGATTGAGACCTGAAGTGGTCAATAATCTATTCCATAACATACACATCATGCCCAGTATATAGGTGAGGACCTTCCAGAAGATCAGCCCTTTTTGGTTCTGGATCTCTTTTGCTCTGGGTCATCTCACTCCAGGTGGTCACTCTCCCAAGGCCTTCCCCCCCCCGACCCCGGTCAGCTCTCGGTCTGGGATGCTCGGACTGTTATCTCCGTTCCGTGAGTGTGGTTTTGGGACTCTCCCTGCTCCGGGATCGTTAGCCAGGAACAGGCTGAGCCTTGGTCACCAGGTTGGGGGGGCAGTATCACTGTGTATCACTCATTTGTATATAGTATTTTCAATATTATTGTAGTTTAGTTATTAAATTAATAACTGTTATTAATTCTTATCTCAACCCACGAGTCCTTTTTTCCCTTTACCCCTTTAATTCTCTCCCCTATCCTCAGGGGGTGGGGGGAGTAGGGGAGAATTGGGTGAGTGGGTGTGTGGTTTGGCCCCCAGCCAAGGGCAAACCCATCAACTTTCATCCGACTTCAATTCATAAAGAATTCAGTTGCCTTAACTACAAAATTTTTTCTTGTATTATTCTTTAGCTCATTTTTGTACCATCTCCAGTTCTTTGGCAGGCTTCCTCCAGAACTTGATGCAGCATTCCCAGAACTGGTCTCACAACTGTGTACAAGATAAAGCTGATAATCATCCGTATTGCTGTTCGTCTGCTTACATGATGCACAAGTTACTCTTGCTCCTAATGTGATGCTAACCTACACGTCCCAACTCTTACATCATTTTCATTTATTTCTCCACTGCCATCCCAAGTAAAGCCCTTCACTCTGTAGGCAGGATCTGGACCTGTGTTACCAGCTGTATGACCTTGTATTTCAACGTACTAAGAATACTTGTTGCTCATGTGCTTCCAGCTATGTGGGACAGCAAATGATGGAAGCTGCTCCTTCTCCACATATGCCTGATTCATCACCAGTCCTCTGTATCACAGAAGACAAATCCATCTGGCTGATCCTCAAGAGCTTTATTAGCAATGCCACTTCCTGGTCTGAAAGAGTTCTTCTAGAACACAAGTCTGTGACTTGTGCCTCATGTATATTTGCTATTTTCTGTACAAGATAAAGAGGCAGGTGGTAGTCCCTGAAACAAACATTCTGCAGAGCAGAAAGCCATCTCTGGTTCTGTTGAACTGTCTGAGAAGTGGAAAGCTCAGCATTGGTCCAATGTACACAAGGGAAAGCTAAACTGATGTTTAAGAAAATAAGATGCATCCAAGCATGTCAACAGCTGTCTGTATGCCAAGCTGGATATTACCAGAAGAAAATCTATAAACCTAATTACAAACAGGCTGCTATAACATAGATTATAGCTATTCTGTGGTTTAGAATTGTCTTGGTCCAAGTTTCCATTCTCCGCTTTTAGGTCTTGAGGCAGCTCGAAACATTAACCCTTGTAGCACAAGTAGGCAAAGGTGCTCCTTAAGTTTGCAGACCGAGCCTCTCCCCAGTCATCACACTGAAGGTAAAGCTGTAGGTATTCTAATGCAATTTGCAGGTTTCCTACCAACCCTCCATCCCTTCTCATGAGAAAGATTATTTCATGTAACTACATATTTGACTCTAGTATTTGTCAAAGATACCCAAATGCATGAAGTCGAATGCTACTGATCTAGCATGAGTAGTTGGATATATGCTTTTAAGCCATGCTATTAAGAGGTGGCCTAAAGGACCACATTAACTAATAACAGTGTATATTAGACTCCTGGACATGGCTTTTTACACACATTATAGTCCAGCAGCAGCAGAACTATTTCTTTACCTGACCCTCCTTACCTTTAGGGGATGACTGAGAATGCAGAGCACATTAAGCAGAAGAGGTAAAGACACCTCCTTCATCCTAATGCAACCTTGCAATTTGCAATTTCTGCTGGATCTGCAGACTTACATTGTCTCTGGGCAACAGGCATGCACTGGCACCTAGCTGCTTCCATGGCAACCTAATTACCCAAAACCCAGCCAGTCTGGTCTACAAGAGCCCAAATAGACCGTAACTTAACTCTTTCCTTCTTCCTCACCTTAAGTAGTCCCATGTGGATCAAGAGGCTTGTGACGAATGCATCTGAATTAAATGTGGCAGAAGTGAAGGCTTTTCTCATCAAGGCATCTAAAAACAAATAAATGCTTTATATTAAACAATACAGAAAGGGATGCTGTTACAGATTTTAAGATCAAGATTGATCATACAGGACCTCAGGGAATATAGGCTGTTAAAGGAGTTTTGGGAGGTAAAATTTGCTAAGGTTACAGTTGTCTCCGCAGGGACATCGAGACAGATAAAACCCAGTCCTTAGGCACAAGGCCTGATACAAAGGAAAAGAAAAAACCCACTACACCCAAAAATGAAAAAAAACCCTCAAATTCACACAGTGCCAAGCTTCAGACGCAATTTGACCTCAGTGCTAGGCATCACAAATGCTCAATGCATTTGAACATGCATGCTATGTGCATACATGCATATAAATATGATCAGATGATGCAGAGCAGCAAGAGTTAGAGCCTTAAAATTCTGAAGGCCAGGAAGAATTCACCTTTCATTTGAAACCAAAAGGAACAAGACCACAACAAAAAAACTTGTTGAACTGCTTCCTGAGCTCACTCAGGACCAATATTCTGGAAGCACAAGATATGCTAAGTTCAGAATCAATCTCTACTTTCATGCCACAGCTTGGTACTTTGTAATCTGGGGTTTCCTGCTGCCAGTGACAAAACAGCCCGATGGCCCAGCCCACAGGGGCCTGCCTTCCTCTGCACTGCACTGGCGTGCTTGACACTGAAGGTCACACCACAAAACGAAGAAAGGCCCAGTCACCTGTTGTTTCATGCACTGCTGTTTTCACTGAGGCTTCATCTTTGAAGACCGAGGATATCCTTAGGAGAGTTGTAACCACCTTCTCTACATCAGATGTATCTGTCTGAAAGACAAGAAAAAATTTTTTTTAAAAAATCAGGGGTCATTCAGTTCACTGCTCACCAGCAACAGAACATGGGTCTCTGCTAGGGCTGTGACAAGAATTACAGCTTTCGTCTGAATGACATGAATTTTGCCTTGGCCATATCAAGGCATAAACACCACCATGAAACAAAGTTACTCTACGCAGAAGCTCTGGTGACAACATAAACGTTAACTGCATCATCTGCTTCCAAAAAGTTCCTTGGGATCAGAGGGGAGAAGATGCAAATCTAGGTCTCAAGAGAACATTAGCACCTCTGGGGATTAAATGATTCTGAGAGAGAATCAAGCACAGAAGACCACCAGCTCACCTACCTGCTGAGCTATCAGCAAAGGGCACTTCGGTCCTAGTCGCAGCAGCTTCTCTGGTGATGGGAAAGCAAGGAACGTGGCAACATCCACAGGAGGAGATGGCACTGGAGTTGAATCCTGCAACAGGCAGAATCCATCTCAAATTCACCCTTGGAAGTAAATAAATTGGTTCAGCAGCAAAGGCGCATAGGACAGGTGAGGAGACAGGTCAGGATTTGTTCTATTTGAAAACTTTCAGGGAGGAATGAGCACCCAGATGGAATAGCCAGAATGTGCTAGCACAACTGCATGGCATTGCACATACAAGACTCCCACCATTTTCTGGACATGAGAAGACTTTTTGTACCTGTGTTTGGTAGAATCACTATTCAGCCTTTTCTTCCATGCACGTGTCCACATGCACTTGAAAACAGAATATGCTTCCAAGTCATCCATTTTCTTTATTTCCTGCACATTATCTTCCTGCCTGCTACCAGTGCCAGCCCACACAGGAATGTGAACTCCCGCCAGCACTCCAAGTTCAGACTCACTCTAGATCTCATTTCCTCCTTTACTCTCCTCCAGTTGAGGAAATGGGAACTCATCTGGAAGGAAGCTTACCTGTGAATCAATTATCTTCTTTGGAGTCAGTGACTCCTCTTCTCTCTGTCCTCTGTCCTTCAGCTGTTGCTGTTCTTCCTCCTCATCTTCCTCCTCTTCTTCATCTTCATCCTCCTCCCCCTCTTCATCATCCTCCTCCTCCCCTTCATCATCACTAGGGTTTGAGTTATATGTTACATTAATTACACCCTTGCAACTCCTGGAAACTCACTGGAAATCAAATATTTTTTTCAAGAACAAAAAAAGCAACCTTCCCTTAAGTCTTACTGGAAGAAGTACATCTCCACCTACAACAGGTTAAGAGGACACTCAGGCTTCAGTCACCTCGTTGACAATGGCAAGCAAAGAGCGAGGAATGCAATCAATAACTAACACTAAGGTAAGTCCATTGATGAAAACAAGACACAAGGCTTATCCTGCTTATGGAATCCCTTGACTGTGCTCCACACTGCACACTTAGACCAGCATCCATCTGCAATATTACAGTTCTTTCTTTAAAACAGGTAGATGAATGAAAGTGTTGAT